AATAAGCAAAACTTAGTCCAGCAGTAAAAACTCCAGAATCCATGATCGAATTATAACCTTTTTTTTAATTAGGACTCCCCAAAATGTTGCAAAGGATTGTGCAGGCTTTCAGGTTCTGCAGAGCACCTCAGCAGGGTAATATGTAAAAAGCAAGAGATAGCAGACAAAACCAGAAAACTTCAGAAAGTAGGCTAGCCCAGGGCATGGATATCTGCAGGCAAGATCTCTTAAATAAGTAGACTTTGCCCCCTTGCAAACATCCCTGCTTAACCAGTGGATCTACAGTGGTCCCTCCACATTCGCTGGGATTAGGGGTGAAGGACCTCCATAAATGTGGAAAAAACACTAATAAAAACAACACTATTCTTTTTACCTAAGAGAACATCTCTCTAGGAATCTAGTTCCTGCAGTGCAACTTTGTGGTCAAGATCTACCAGATGTTGATCATAGAATCATGCTGGAGGACCTACAAATGCCTAGAGAAGTGTTCTCTTTAGGAATCTCTAGGTCCTTCAACACAACTCTATGGTCAACTTCCAGCAGAATTCTGCTGGAAGACTTAAGAGACTCCTAGAGAGAACATCTGAATCAAAACCACAAATAATCAAATCCGCAAAAGTCACGTTGCAAACATGGAGGACCGATTGTACTTCTAGGAAAGGGCTGTGGTGTAATTCCCCCCATTGTTGTTGTGTGCCTTCAGATTGTTTCTGACTTACGGCGATCCTATCAGGGGGCTTTCTTGGCAAGATTGTTCAGAGGAGGTTTGCCATCTGAGGCTGAGAGAGTGTGACTTGCCCCAGGTCACCCAATGGGTTTCATGGCAGTCTCTTTCCATGGTATGGGAGGAGATGGTTTCAGTCTGGACTGAAAGATTGTATCTCCCCATACAAACATGTCGGAGCTTTAAGATCATCAGGAGAAGCCTTTCTCTTGTTCCTGCCATTATCCCAAACTCGATTGGTGAGGACACGAAAGAGAGCCTTCTTGGTGGCTGCTCCCAATCTCTGGAAGTCCCTTCCATAGGAAGCCAGGCTGGTCCCCCCGCTGACAAATTGCTTTTTGTTTAAATAGGCCTTTCATACGTTATCACTCTCGGGGAGGCTTCTTATTGGAGTGTGTGCTTTGGTTATTTATTGTTGAACTTTTACATGTTTTTAAATGATTTTGTTTGTAAAATTGTATTGGTAAGCTTTAGCCACTTTTACCTGTCAGCCACTTTGGGTCCCACTCCGGGAGTAAGGCGGCATTTTAATAAAATAAAACAAAAAATAATAAATAGAAAGATTTTTTTTTCCAGTGAAGGTGTTCTGTCTGTAAAACACCTTCCCCAGGGAGGTGGAATGATGTTATCGGCATCAGATACAGATTCCCCCCTCCATTCTCCCAGGCATTTTATGACTCCTGTTTTCACTGCTTCTATAGCTTTGCATTTTTATCCTGCTGCTGGTTTTAGGTTTTGAAATGTGTTCTTTTCTGCTGCCAATGCTGTGTCTTATTTTTTTTTAATACTCTGTTTTTTCATTCATTGTTTTGTTCTATATTTTGAAAAATATACTTTTTTTTTTAATAGACATTTTTATTCGAATAAAACCAACTTCATAACAA